CTCCTCCTCCTCCTCCTCCTCCTTCTCCTCCTCCTCCTCCTCCTCCTCCTCCTCCTCCTCTCATTCTTCAGCCAGCCCAGATTTCCAAAGGGAAGAAAGAAAAGGGGACAGCAAAGAGCCTCAAGGAGAGCACGCAGGGCTTTCCAAGAGAGTGAGAAGAGACACAGACAGGGAGCGAGAGAGAGTGAGAGTGAGAGAGTGAGTGAGAGAGAGAGAGAGAGAGAGAGAGATATACAAAGGGAGGGAGAGAGATTTGGCTCAATTCAGCTCTGTCTGCTCCCCTCTCTCTGTCTTTGCCCAGTTTTGCAAGGATTCAGCAGCGATCTAAGGCAGCAACCTCATAGCACTGTGAGGTAACAGTCTGACTGTCACTCCTTTTGGAATGCAAGGTTTATTTTTGTATCTTTCCACAGACAGAAAGAACGTGGCCAAATTTCCTTACAGTTATTCCCTGTGTGTGGGAGTTGGGAAGGGGGGTAGGGAGTGGGGGAGAAGGAGGGAGGAAGAGGCATTGAGAGAGAAAGAGAGAGAGTTAGAGAAGAGAGAAGGAGAGGGAGAGAGAAAGAAAGAGATGAGAAGGAGGAAAAGATGGAGAGGGAGATAGAGGGAGAAAGATAGAGATGGGGGAGGGAGGAGAGAGAGAGAGCGAGCAACCTGTTCCCCGTAGAAAACACAGAAAACCACAAAACCTGGGGGGTCATGTGACTCAGTGGGAGTACCATTAAGTTGCCACGCCCACCCATGTCTTGCGGCTCCCAGTGTTTTGTTTTCTGTGGGAAACAGGTCCAAATGGCTCTTTGAGTGTTTAAGTGCAGACCCCTGACCTAGGGGGAGGCAGAGGGAGGGGGGCTATCTATCTACCTACCTACTTATCTACCTACCTACTTATCTACCTACCTACCTATCTACTTACCTACCTATCCATACAACCATCCAGAAAGTCTGTCTGTCTGTCTTCCTGCCTGCTTGCCTGCCTGCCTACCTACCTACCTACCTACCTACCAATATATCTACTTACCTACCTACCTGTCTCTCTCTCTCTCTCTCCATCCATCTATGTTCAAAGCGCCGGCCCTGCAGGCACATTGGGAAAGTAGAGCAAAGCCAGTCTAGGAGGGATGGAGGGAGGGAGGGAGGGGGAGAGAAAGAGAGAGAGAGAGAGACCTGATGCATCAGATTGAAATGAGGCCTAGTTTAGTCTGAGGCCCTTTTTCACATTCAGACATCATATTCTTCCGATTAAAATCGGAATTCCGATTTTTTTGGGAATCGCCCCTCCCTCCCCCCTTCTCCTCCTTCCCCTCCCCTCGGAGGCCCCGAGTCAGGAGTTGCTACCACTGGCGTGGCTCTGCGTGGCTCCAGTCCCGCGTTGCCTCAGGAAGGGAAAGGCAAAAAGGAAGAGCCGCGGCGGCGCTTTGCAACGGCAGCAGCGGCTCCTGGTTTTGCCTTTCCCTTCCCGAGGCAACGAGGGACTGGAGCTGCGCGGAGCCGCGCCAGCGGTAGCAACTCCTGACAGCCCCAGCCGGATACCTGAGCGGAGCCCGGGCGGGCGGTGCGAGCGGAGCCCGGGTGGGCGGGCGGTGCAAGCGGAGGCCGCTGAGCAGCAGGAAAAGGGAGCTGGGCAGTGATTTCTTGGCGCGCGGTGGGGGGGTCTCTTTTGGCCGGCCCCGATTTTTTTTTCAGAGGGGAATATCATGCCTGACATTGAAACATCTTTGGCTTCTATTAAAGGTTTTGTGGATGAAACATGGTCAAGACTATCAGGAAGCTCTCACATTTTGTTGAGGCTTTAAACAGGATCCATTGGACCAGACCTCCACCCTAAAAAATTACTTTTCCCCAATGTATTACAGTGCCAATTCTGAAGAAGGCAAAACCAAAATGAACTGGTAAATTACAAGGAGAACACACACACACACACTCCCTTCTAACCTTGCTGGAGCAGGTGATTGGACTAGAATAGATATCTCATTATCTTTCTCCTCCCTCCCTCCCTCCTTTATTTCTTTTTCTTTCTGTCCCTTCCTTCCATCCCCCCTCTTTCTTCATCTGTCCCTTTTTCTTTCTCTTTTTTCTTTCTTTTCTTCCTTCTCTCTTTCTCTCTTTCTTTTCTCTATCTCTCTTTCCCTCTCTCAGGCTCACCCCATTGACTTGATGCACTGCTTCGCTCGGACTTGCTTGGGCAAGTCCCTCCGGTGCAGCAGGCTCAATGGGGTGGACCTGCAGAGCTGGCACCTAAAATGTGGCAGTGGTGGCACGTTTGAAAAGTCGAGCAAAGCCAGAGGTCAGTAATTTTTGCTGCAAAGAATCACAAAAGCTTCTGGGTTGTGCACAAGAAGGGACACACATGTCAATGCAATTCAGCAACATAAAATAAAGAAATAAAAATAAAACAAATCAACAAGAATCGGCAAATCATCTCTGATTAGATTCTGTTCACTACTAGAATCTAATCAGAGATGTTTTGCCGATTCTAGTCCAATGACCTGCTCCGGCAGGGTTAGAAGGGAGTATGTGTATATGTGTGTGCATGGCTGTCAAAACTCCAAAAACAGGTCAAGTAGCTCTGGGGAGGCCAGTCATAAATTAGAACACTTGCTAAACAACCGGCCATTAAGTGAGGACCACTTGTATTTGGTTTGCCACACCCACCCAGTCACATGACCACCAAACCACACCTATCCAGTCATGTGACCAGCAAGCCACGCCCAGCCAGCAAGCCACGCCGGCCAATCACATGACCAGCAAGCCACACCCACCCAGTCACGTGACCAGCAAGCCACACCCTCAAATTAGGCTACGCCCAAAGAAATTTAAATCCCACCCCTGGGTGGGGTCACCGAGGATGAGTTTGTAGCACAAAGGGGGCGGTGGACTGAAAAAGTTTGGGAACCACTGGTTTAATGTAACAAAGGAACAGGTTACCCGCATCAGCCGATATGCTTCCGACTGGCCAGCTGACGGGTAACAGCTGATACCATCTGACAGCTCCCTTTTATAGTTCGCTGTCAGACGGCTCAGCCAATAAAAACATACAAAACTCCCACTTAAAATGCGGACCAACAAGGGAACTTCTGTAGAACACAATACTTTGTTTCTAAATGTAGGGTGATGGTTTATAACTGATTCCATGCCTTTACAGGTGACGCAACACAGTGAGATTGGTCTGTAATTTTTTATTAGACTAGGGTCTCCCTTTTCAAAAATAGGTATGACTGTGGCTAATGACCATAAGTCGGGCAGGGAGCTGGTTCTGAAAAATACCTCATAGATTGTGCTTAGAGGTTCGGCTATGACAGTGGCAAGCTTTTTCAAAAAGTAGGCACATAATCCATCAGGGCCAATAGATAGGATGGCTTTAGGTTACGTAGTGCTGTTTCAACCTTAACTGCTGCAAATTAGTTTTAATCAATAGTAATTCAGATTGTACTGAATTCTTTTTTTTCCTTTTTAAGTTTGCTATTTGTCTACCTATGTACAGATACACACACACTAAACATTTTGTTGGGGTGGGGGTGGGATTATCTGCATTGTGTCAAATGGTGTTAGTAACCTAGATTGACAAGATAGGGAAGCTGGGCATTATAAAGACTTTCTAATTTTAATTTTCCTTTTTGTTTGTGTCCATGGGGCAGATTTATCTTAAATTAATAAAAGTCTTTCTTTCCAATAAATACGGAATTTTATGAAGGAAAGGGATTGAACCAATTTTCCTTTAGCAAGAAAGTTCTGATGGGTTACTCACATGTGTAAAGCCTCTTGGTAGAACTGTTTTGACCTTAGTACATTTGTCAGACACAAATTATAAAAGAAATTAATTTTTAAAATGTGAGAAATGAACTTGGGTATAAAGTTGATTCAGTATTCCATAAGTGTTTGCATTTATATTTTTATAGGCTCTTTCCTACAGACTTGTTTGAAAGCTTCATAGATGTTGGGCATTATATTCGTGAGATCAGTGCCTATGAAGAGCTAGTATTGAAATTAAATGCATTACTGGTGGGTAGTATATGTTTTTCCTTATTCAAATGAACTCAGTCCCTACCAAAATGTTTCAGCTTACTCTGGCTTTTAAATGTTATCTTTGAATAAAATATTACAGAGTTTTTGAAAGAGAATTATGAAAGCTGCATCAGTACAAGAGATAGCTTTATAATGCTTTGCAGTATGCTTTGTGGTAACTTTAAGACACCATGCTTCTTTTCATGTGCTCTAGCTGCATAAATTTTATTTAAGAATGGAATAGTCAAAGAAGTGTTCTTGATTGATATGAAAAAATGGGTGAAGGTGGTTTCTAAGGGGAAAGTAGGACTTTTATAAACTATAAACATTGTCTAAAATTACATCAATAAAGTATTTCTTTTGTAACCAGGAGGATGAAGTTAAGCAAATTGCTGAAAATATTGAAAATATTAATCAGAATAAAGCACCTATGAAATACATAGGCAATTATGCAGTTTTGGATCATCTTGGCAGTGGAGCATTCGGAAGCGTTTATAAGGTAAAACTGCCTTTGATTTGTTTTGAATATTGCTTTACATATTCCCTTCAATAATTCTCACACTTGATTGCAAATATATGTTATTTATTTTTATTGACAAAGTAAAGCAATATGTTGATTTGACTTAGCATTATTTGTATTAAAAATAATAGTTGAGAAAGCTAACATAGTCAAGATTGCAATTTCAAATTATACCTTCTTTCTGAGTCACCATTCCATAATACTCTAGAGATATGTAAAATGTTTTGAAATCAAAGTTTCCTATCTTCAATCATTTCTTTTCAATCCCAGTACAGTTCTGTTCCTAATATTGTCTGATCATACTAGAAAATTATTTCCATGCTCTGATTAAACAGAAATGTTTCAACTTCCAAACTGACTGCTTTTGATTGCAAAATTGATAGCACGATTATCCACTGTGAAACAGAACATTTCCAGTAAATTCATTGAAACAGAATCTTTCAGGCTTGGACTCCATTAACATTTTTATATTTTGAGTACTTGCCTATTTCTTCAGATTTGTAGCAAATGCTATTTTATTAATGTAAACGTTTCTGAGATAATATATCTCAAGTACTTTAAATAATTTGTATCTGGCTATATAAATAATATTAATAGTGCTCACAGTGTGATCTGGCCAGTTTTCAGAGATTCTGACTTTCTACTCAAATCTATTAGGACATTCAAATACATATATTATCTGAAAATATTCTCATTGCAAAATGGAACTTGGTCCTACATTCTAATTTCTATTGTATGCTCTCTGTTCATATCATTTTTTCTTCTTGCTGTAGGTTAGAAAACATAGTGGCCAAAACTTTCTAGCAATGAAAGAGATTAATTTACATAATCCAGCATTTGGAAAAGATAAAAAAGATCGAGAGAGCAGTGTAAAGAACATTGTCTCCGAATTAGCCATAATTAAAGAACAGGTGAGACTAAACTAAAAAAAAGTTTCAGAAAAATTGTTGGGGGAAGTTTTTCAATTACAGTTTAGATGCCAGTTAAAGTGATTTTAATTAATATGCCACCCTGAATATGTGCTGGCTACCTACTTTTATTATCCTGCTCAGGCTTTTCTTTGCTTGCTACCTGTTCCTATTCATCCCTAGTAAGTTTGTAGGGAACTAGGGAACTGCTATAGTATATGTGCCCTTCTTAACCTGTTGCAAGCCTTGATTGAGTTGTATGATCATTCATACATTTGCAGTTGAAGACTAATCAAGAAAAAAACTGCAATTAGTAATAAGCTCTAAAAATATAATAGAGACATTGTGATATCGATGGTGTTTTTTATCTGTCACTGGTGCAGTCCTTTCAAATAAGCATTAATGCTACCCAAATGCCAAAAGACATTCCAATATTCAAAACCTAACTTGCCATAGTTACCATTTAGAGGAAAAATCACCTTTAATGTTATACTGCTTCTAGAATGGGTAGGGTTAATATATTTGTCCATTTTTTCTTGGAAGAAGAGGGGTTGAGGGTAGCAATGGATGTGTTTCACTTCCTAAAAGTCTCTCATTTTCAAATCATTCAGACTGAAATTGTACCGATTTGCCACAAAATTTCTAGGGTAGGGTTAATAACAGATTAAAGGTAGATATGAAGGTACTTAGTGCTTCCTTTCACACTCTTATTTTTTGAAAAAAGGAAAGAATATTGGAGTACTGGCTCATACCAGTGTATCGCAGACTGCTGACATCTAATCTAACATTTGTACATTTTTATTTTAGCTTTATCATCCCAATGTTGTACGATACCACAGAACCTTTTTAGAAAGTAAGTATAAATCTACAAAGTTACAATTCACAGTGTATTACTTTCATAATATTTTTTTAAAAGTCAAGGACTATGCCAGAAAAGTTTACTTATCACATCTTCAAGAAGATTATTTTGTTTTTACACAAGTATTAAATTGTTAGTTAGAAGACAAGGGAAGGAAAGGGAATGTATTGGAAGCAGAAATTAGAAGCTTGAACATGTTGTATTATGTTAGCTTAAAAAAGACTTTGTCTTTTCAAGAGCTGAGGTTTCTAGATAGCAGGAATAGGCAATCTCTGAATAACCAGGGATTGCACTTACCGTAGATGTATCTTTGTGTATGTATGGGAGAACACAGATAGTCCTTGACTTATGATTGTTCAAAGTTATAACAGCACTGAAAAAAGTGACTTATGACCAGTTCTCATACTTACGACCGTTGCAGCATTCCCACATTTAACTGATAGTTTCAGCAACTGGTGTCCTTGGATTGTCATTTGAAACTTTCATTCTTACAAGCGAAGTCAATGGGAGAAGCCAGATTTGCTTAATGACTGCATGATTTACTTAACAACTGTAGTGATTCTCTTAACATCCATGGCAAGAAAGTTTGTAAAATAGGGCACAACTCACTTGTTTAGCAGTGGAAATTTTGGGCTCAGTTGTAGTCATAAGTCAAGTTGGATGTTTGAAGAAGTAGGCAAGTAGGCATAGAGCCATGATTCTCTATTTTTTCTTGATGGTTATAGAGAAGTTTGGAGGTTCATTATTTACATTACCATTTTAGTATCTTTCTCAAATCAGAAATTGCTATTGTCTTTCAGCAGCTACAGTCCAATGGAGTTTGAAAGACCTTAATTTGCCCAAGACTGTTCTTCAAGACAGACTGCATTATAGGAGATTTCACATTTGATATTTTCTTGATATACAAATCAATTAACTACAGAACTACAATGGTTTGTTTAGATTTGCTGGCAAACTATCGCAACCATAACAATGCTGGCAGCTTACAAGACAGTGCTGATGATGTTACCTACTTTGGGTAATGAAACATTTGCAAGAAAACAAACAAGCTCAGACAGCACCAAAGAGCCCTCATTTCAACCCTGAGCTACAAATATTTTCCTTTACATGTAGCTGAAAATTCCCAAAGGTGCTTTTTCAGGAGGCAACTGGACTTTTTTTCTTTTTTTCTTTGAAGACATTTCACTTTTCACCCAAAAGCTTTTTCAGCTCTGACAGGATGGTGGGGAATGGAAGGATTTATATTTCTTGCAGGCAGCTGGTCATTTGCATCTGAGTAGTGCTTCTGGTTCCTGTAGTCTGCAATTTTTCTGGAAATCTGTTCATACTCTCACACCATTCAAAGGGTGTTTATCCCAATTTGCATAGCTAAAAGTCTACAGAGATTCTCAGTAATCCAGGTCATGGTTGTCCCAAAGGTGCTTTCTTAGGAGGCAACTGGACTTTCTTGTTTTTCGTCTTCAAAGAAAAAAAAAAAGAAACAAGGAAGTCCAGTTGCCTCCTGAAAAAGCACCTTTGGGACAACCATGACCTGTATAATTGAGAATCTCAACAGACTTATTGAAAATTGTGCATTTTTAACTATAAACCAATTTGTAGATATATTTTTTTTGTTTACCACTATGAATCTGTTCCAAGTAACTAATATCATATAGTCAGTGAATTAGATTTGATGTTACGCAGCTCAGTTTTTGAGAGACATCATTAAGTGATTGAATGCATAGGTCAGGGCATAGGTATCTGGTGCTATGTTCCTGTGAGAACATCTGAATAATCAGTTTGCCTTTACATATCGTTTATGCTACAGAATCTCCAAGAAATATGCCTGCTTGATTTCCACTGCATAACTATTGTTTACAGAAATAAATTATTGTTACTATTTTTTATTTAATTTCATATAGATGATAGATTGTATATAGTTATGGAGCTTATAGAAGGAGCACCCCTTGGAGAACACTTTCATTCTTTGAAGGAAAAACAACAACAGTTTACAGAAGAGAGAATATGGAATATATTCATTCAAGTAAGAACCTAAAGTTGTCTTCATTACTTTACCCTACATGTTTTCTGGTCGTGTAGTTAATCAGGAACTGAAAAGTCTGAAAACCATGTTAGTGTCGTAACATTGATTTCAAGCCATTCAAAGTGAAGTTTTCCAATAGTTCTTTTATTTTTGAATTATTCGGACAAAAAGCAAGGCAAGCATGCAATTAAGCTTAGTTAGTTCCTTTATATTTGTACATATACTTGTGTAATTTCAAAGTTATCTTACTACAAGTTATGCCTAACAAGGCTAATCAGGTTACTGTGCCCAACAAGACTACTCAAGTTGCTGTAAATATTGCTGCCCAACTAGGCTACTCATTCACACAATACTCATATATACTCTCAACACAGATGATCAGGCTGCATTAGAGTGGGCTGGGAGGTAGACTCAGGGCATCCCCTACTTCAACCAGAGTCGCCTCAAACTTTGGGGTCTGGGTTCATTCCAGTGTTCTCTTTATACCCAACTTGTTTACTCAATATCCATGTGTATGTTACATCTTGCCCCAGCCACGTCAGGAACTTTACATCCTTACCGTTCGTTTCAAGACTCCACTACATTCCGTACACTCACTAATGCTCTGTCTGGTATCACCAACAATAAATCATTCATATACACACACTCAGAATCTTTACTTATCAGTAGTACACACATTCCAGCAAACATGAGTTTCCCAGTGAGTTCATTAAAAGGCTAACTTTGGTTGTATTACAGGCTCTCTATATTCATAACCTACATTTGTGGTATAGTCATATATAACATAAAATATGTAAGATTAGGCTATGATGGCAAAAAAAGAGAATGTGGCAGCACCTTTTCTGACTAGCAAATGTTTTTAAAAGATCTAAACTTTTGTGAGTTTATTTGTTAGCTGGAAAAGGTACTGCCATACTCCTACTTTTTTTTTTGACACCATAGCCTAACATGGTTTTCCATCTGTAATGATCATACAGTAAATAATATATTGGTGTTTATCAAACAAGGATCTATTATTTTATCCCTTCTGAAGAAGTATCCATATTCATTTTGTTTGCAAAATTGTCACTAGAAGTCACTGATCATGAAACTTTTGGTCTATCAAGATGATCCACAATACCATCGTTTTAAAGGCAAATCCCTCTCTTGAATAATCTAGCAAAAATAAAACTCTGTGTCACTTCCCCTTTAATGATAGAGTTCATATATACCTCCCTTTTAGAAGAAATGCAAAACAATGTGCAGCACTTAACAGTGGAAAGTTTCTTCCTTTGCAGCTGTTCTGTGCTGTCAGCTGCTTTGCAAAGCAAAAAAAAGGGACTAGTACACTTTGATTCTCTAATGAACTGTGATAGCCATTTTGCTTATTATAAAACAGTCATAAATTATTATTTTATATTGTTATGTTTCAGAACTTTATTTCCATTAAAATAAATTATTTAATTAGTGCTGATGTATCTGGCTTTATATTGTATTAAGTTGTTATTATTACTATAAAGCTGTGTTTAGCTCTTCGGTATTTGCACAAAGAGAAAAGGATTGTCCATAGAGACCTCACTCCAAACAATATCATGCTGGGAGATAAGGATAAAGTAACAATCAGTAAGTTCTATTTTTATGATCTTATTGACATTTGATAGAAAATAATCAGGATGTTGATATCAATAATAAGCTAGTAATAATATGTTACATTTACTCAGAAAAACATCTCAAATAGAATAGAATACTTTATTGGCCAAGTGTAATTGGGCACACAAGGAATTTGTCTTGGTGTAAATACTCTCAGTATACATAAAGAAAAGGTACATTCATTAAGAATCAAGAATCATAACGTACAACATTTATAGTCATAGGGTACAATCAACAATCAAATCATACTAGGAAACAGTCAAGTGGGGGGGGATGGGTGTTAAGGTGTGGTGAGAAGATTAACAGTAACAGTGTACACTTTGTAAATAGTTGAACAGTGTTGAGGGAATTATTTGTTTAGCAAAGTGATGGCTTTCGGGGGGAAAACTGTTCTTGTGTCTAATTGTTCTGGTGTGCAGTGCTCTGTAGCATCATTTTGAGGGAAGGAGTTGAAACAGTTTATGTCTGGCATGTGAGGGGTCTGTAAATATTTTCACAGCCCTCTTTTTGACTCGTGCAGTATATAGGTACTCGATTGAAGGCAGGTTGGTAGTAATTGTTTTTTCTGCAGTCCTAATTATCCTCTGAAGTCTGTGTCTGTCTTGTTGGGTTGCAGAACCAAACCAGACAGTTATAGAGGTGCAGATGATAGACTCAATAATTCATCTGTAGAACTATATCAGCAGCTCCTTGGGCAGTTTGAGCTTTCTGAGTTGGCACAGAAAGAACATTCTTTGTTATGCTTTTTTGATGATGTTTTTGATGATAGGTGTCCATTTTAGGTCATGTGATATAGTAGAACCTAGAAATTTGAAGGTCTCTACTGTTGATACTGTGTTGTCTAATATTGTAAGAGGTGGTAGTATAGGAGGGTTTCTTCTAAAGTCTACCACCATTTCTACAGTTTTGAGTGTGTTCAGTTCCAGATTTTTCTGGTTACACCATGAGGCAAGTTGTATAACCTCCTGTCTGTATGCAGATTCATCGTCTCGAATGAGACCAATCACTGTTGTGTCATCAGCAAATTTCAGTATTTTAACAGATGGATCGTTTGAGATGCAGTCATTGGTATATAGGGAGAAGAGAAGTGGAGATAGCACACAGCCTTGGGAGGGGGCTGTGCTAATTGTACAGGTATCGGATGTGATTCCACCTAGCTTCACCTGCTGCTTCCTGTCTGTTAGGAAGCTTATGATCCACTTACAAGTGTGTTCAGGTACCACTAGTTGGTTTAATTTACTTAGAAGAGTGTCTGGAATGATGGTATTGAAAGCTGAACTGAAGTCTACAAAGTGGACCCTTACTTAGGTATTTGGAGATTCAAGATGTTGTAGGATGTAATGCAGACTCATGTTAACAGCATCATCTGTCGATCTAGTTGCAAACTGCATGGGATCTAACAACGGATCTGTGAAGGTTTTCAGGTGGGACAGCACAAGCTTTTCATAACTATAGATGTTAGAGCAACTGGTCTGTAGTCATTCAGTTCCTTGATGGAGGGCTTCTTTGGCACTGGGATGATGGTAGAACAATTGAAGCAGGAAGGAACATAGCACATCTCTAGTGATCTATTGAAGATTCGGGTGAAGATGGGGGCCAATTTGTCAGCACAGACTTTTAAGCAAGAAGGAGCTATCTTGTCTGGCCCTGGTGCTTTTTCTGGCTTTTGTCTGTGTAAAAGATCTTGCACTTCTTTTTCTGTGATCACCAGAGGTTGTGAGCCCAATGGATTGGGGCCAGTTGTAGGAGGATTGGCTGTTGTTGGTGTGTTTGAGATATGGGTTATGGAGATAGGTGGCTGTAGTTTCTTTTCAAACCTGCAGTAAAACACATTCAGGTCATCTGCTAGTTGTTGATTTCCTTCTGCCTGCGAAGGAGGTTTGCTGAAGCCAGTGATGTTTTTAAGAGTTTTCCACATGTTTGCTGGTTCATTTGTTGAGAATTGATTCTTTAACTTTTTCAGAGTAGCTTCTTTTTGCTGCTCTTATCTCTCTTGTTAATGTTTCTGGCCTGGATGTGTAGCATTCTGTCACCTTTTCTGTAGGCTTCCTCTTTGGAACGATGTAGCTGCTTAAGTTTAGCTGTGAACCAAGGTTTATTGTTACTATATATTTGCAGGTTCCTTGTTGGTACACATAAGTCTTCACAGAAGCTAACATATGATGTTACAGTATCTGTGAGCTCATCTAGGTCTGCAGAGGCATCTTCAAAAACATTCCAATCAGTGCAATCAAGGCAATAAGTGGCACTATCTCAGTACAATAAGTGGCACTATCTAGTTGAGGAACATTCTCTTTTTTTAAATATAATATCATGTGTTACTGGAAAATAAGATTAGATGAATGTCATGATCATATGAATAATACTATGGCAATATAGGTATTAGATGTGGCCTTTTCTTTTTTTCTTTTTTCTTTGTTTGCAAATTTCTTTAAAAATGCAGAATAGTGAGTTATTTCTGTATAAATTAAAATATTATGCTATTTTTAATGGACATTCCAGAAAATACAGTATCAATTAAATATATATGTATCATTCTCTCTGTGTGGAAATAGTATATTTTCCAGAATTAATAGCAATAGCACTTAGATTTATATACCACTTTTTAGAGCTTTACAGTCCTCTTTAAGCAGTTTACGGAATCAGCATATTGCCCCCAATAATCTGGGTCCTCATTTTACCCACCTCAGAAGGATGGAAGGCTGAGTCAACCTTCAGCCTGGTGAGATTCGATCTGCCAAATAGCAGGCAGCCAGCTGTCAGCTGAAGTAGCCTGCAGTACTGCACTCTAACCACCATGCCATTATTTCTTATTTAAATAATGCTGTTGTTTACATTTTTTTTGCTGTTTATTCAGAGTTGTACTTGCCTGTTCTTACTGTTTTTAGATCAGATGTTTTATATTTTTCCTTCAGAAGAAATATTTTGCATATTCTGTTTTTCTGTCTGTCTACAATATCTACAATATCTCTCTCTTTATCTCTCTATCTCTGTCCCTATCATCACTATTTAATCTGTATCTGTTTTACGTAAATTATGTTTACACATTGATGGATGAAACAGAAAAGACATACCTAACTTATCCTATTGGTTATTTGTATATCGGTATAATAAAGTATGAGTAATCCCTGCTGCTATTCCATACAATTGTTCTTCCCTAATGATAGTTAATCTTGACTTTTATATCTTTGGACACGGTCCATGTCTGAGTCTGACTTCAATGTAACCAACTTGGCCAATTATAATATATAATTTATTATAATATAAAATACAAATGAAAATAAAATCAGAAAAAATGTGAAAGAGGATGTTGGATAAAAAGAAATGGAAAAGAAAAAGCAGTGACTTCAGTCTCCTTTCAACACAGTAAAATACTAAATGCAATTATAATGCCAACTTTTGCTTTGCATTTTGAATAATAAAACGTTCTTTTCTATAGCGAAAAAATCAATGCAATCCTCAAAACCTAAAGTCAAAGTTATTTTTTTTTCTTCTATATGGAGCATAAAATCCAGAAACAAATTTCACATGGAAATGAAACTGGATAAATTGTTCTCTTGGTTTACTCTAGTTGGTTTTGCCATCTCTACTGAGTCCACTGTTTTTTTTCCATCTATTCTTCCATTGTGGGAGATGATAGAACTTTTCATTTGCCCATACTGAATTTTCAACACTGTCAACATATATAAAGACAAAGTGCCAGACTTTCTTTGACAATCTTTGACCTAGTGAGAAACTTTCTGGTATTGGTTTTATATTCACTTTAGAAATCAATTTTTTTTCTTAAAAATTGCCATCCTTACAATTACAGTTCTAACAGACTTTTAATGCATGATTTTGTAAGGGTTTTTTTAGGTTAAAATTATGCAATATTGAACATAGTAATGTTCAATATTCAATTTCAATAATGTTTTATAAACCTTAGCAAAAATCCTATTCATCACCTTTTCATATTGACTGAAATAGGTTAAAAGCAGTGATTTTTCTTATCCAAATTAAATCTGTTTTTTTTACTTAGATATATTAAGTCAGTAAAAAAATCCATCTTTCTGACTCCAGTTCTTCTTTTGTATTCAGTTTAAGTCACCCCTTTCAACTTGTCTCAACAAAGTAAAATCTTTCTCTTAAATTTTTTGTTGTACATGCAGAAACCTTTCTTTTTCAAAATCTTGACATATTTTTTTCAGGACAATTTTATTTGTGTATCAATCTTTAATTCAGATTTGGAATGAGGTCCAGAACTTGTTCTGTTATGGCTTGAGGTACCTGAAGTTCTTCTTTTAGTTCCATTGACAAGTGGAAAAATTTATTTAAATCACTCTCATAATGAATAGCCTTACTGTTCATGGGGTATTTCAATTTTATCATTTACTTGGTTTTTGCCACTTGAGAAGTTTGAGAAGTTTCGCTTGAGAAGTTTCTTCATTTGATTTCATTGTTAGATTATCGATTTTTACTCCTATTGCTTAAATTATTTTGTCTGAATATTCTTCCAAAATGCTTCTCATGAGATCCAGATGGATTAGTTTCTCCTTTATACAGTAGTTTGGTATTCATCTTGTTTATTAAATCAAATTCTGCTTTCCCACTGTTTTATAATCTTTGACTCCCTCTTGTGGTCAAAGAGCAAAACTTATAGATAGTACAGTTAGAAGACTGAAGTTCTATTTTAGCTAATTAGGTTCAGTTAAAATTGGAAACTTTTACTTTCCCATAATAAGTACCTCACTAGTTACTAGTAATAAATACCATTATCAAGTAATCATGGCAGATTAATAGAAAAAGGCAAACTATATTTTAAAATTTTAAATGTTTTTTTTTGTCAAAGACCAATTAAAGAAAAAAAAAATCCAAGCTTCTTTATTTCTTCCTCCTTGTTGTTTAGCACCCATAGTATTTCTAAAATGGCATAATTGTTTAAAAAGAAATAACACACTACAACCGAAAAGAGACTCTTTTGCACCAATAAAGAC